CTGAGCTCTTAAAAGGGACCAGTTTGTGCGAGATACTACGACGAGCTCCGGGTCAGCGATTATCAGAAACTCGAGCAAAACGAATTTTTCAACAGCTCGTTACAGCTGTGGAAGTACTACATTCACAATGTGTAATTCATCGCGATCTGAAACTTGAAAATGTTCTTCTCGACGAGCAATCGGGACACGTTACAGTTATTGACTTTGGTTTCAGTGATCTCGAAGAATCTATCGACCTTCAAACACTTGATCCAGCAGAGAACGAGGCTCGAAAGAAACAGTTGAAAAAGAAAAACTTCTGCGGCACACCTGCTTACATGGCTCCAGAGGTGGTCGCGAGAGAGCGGTATGACGGAAAACCTGTGGATATATGGAGTTTGGGCGTTTTGCTTTACGTGATGCTATGCGGTAAATTTCCATTTCAAGGCATACATTTCCACCAACTTTTTCAAAAACTTCGTAGTGGTGCACAGCACGTGGTGCTACCACCAACACTCTCTGGCGATGTGCGTGCTTTGCTTCAGTCGATATTGACCGTAGATCCAGCAAAGCGACCAAGCGCAAGTGAGCTCCGTCATTGTTCGTGGCTACAAAACGTTGAAGCACAAGAAACACCACAAAATTTACTGATATCGTTTGAAGCGTGGCCAGGTACAAACCAAAGAGTCTGCGAGGCACTCACAGAGTTGTATGGTGTGCAACCCAATCATTCCGATTCAAATATTACTCGGCGACACCGCCGATTGAGTGCATTTGTGAAACTCGCTATTGCAGAGTCCAGTCACCATTTCCAGAAAATCGTTGTAGAAGGCTTGGCTTCAGATGATATTCAAACTATGCAAAGCGAGGAGACTGACACTGAGTCGCAAAAGAATCAAGAAGACGCAGAGTCATCGTCCACACGACATAAACAACAACTGGAAAAACTCATTGGGCTTGTCAAGACATCCCTCGCCACAAGATGATACGTTATTGATCACTATCAAAGTACATCAGTTGTGGCCGTTGTCACCAATTGGATCAGTAGTAGTCATGGTATTACGTCAAAGGTCTTCTTTGGGTCCTGTTGGGTATCATGCTTGAAAAAAAATACAACTGCAACTACTAAGTATTAACAAACATGTCTTTTTCAAAATATTGCGTGCGTGCGATTCAGAGTGCTCTTCGGAGAAGGAACTACGAGCTTGTATCAACCTGATACAGTGTCGTTGGTCTTCCTAGCTCGATCTACTTTCCCGTCGAGTAACACAACAGCACAAATACTATAAAGTGGAGTACAGCGTCTACAATAGAGCCAAGCCCATCGAGAAATCTGTCAAAGGCCCTGCTACTCAGAATCAATACAACACCGCTAGATATACATCGCGCTGTCTTTGACACAACCAGGCCACAGCCACTTCGTGTTGTCAATGACGTTAAGCGATCTACTAATTCGAATTTTAATACATCTCTATTTAACTCGTACCCAAAATGAACGAGCTTCTTTCTCCGCCACTGTGTCGAGGGGAACAAGGTAGAGTTGACCATTATTGAAATAATCTATTGGATACTTGTTTATTAGCAGCCGTGCCCACCGACAATGACATGGCATGGTGCAAATATTGCTAACATACTCAACACAATCACCCAGACAAACCCGCAACCATACAAAACGATGACAACTACAGCCCCAATTGGCGAAAGCTGGTGCCTCATTTCCTCCAGTTGACGCGGTCCCTTTGGCAGCAGTCGAGTCGTTGCAAACATAACTGGGATCAACGGAATGACGCTCGTAAGTACTGACAGCTTCCAGACGCCACTAAAGTCATGTGGAACTTTTTGCAGATCCGTTAACTCAACTGACCAGATATGAAGCAACATATTGGAAATCGTACTGGAAAATGCCTGCGCGAGATTGGTGACACTAGTGAGCAGTGCAAATGCCACCCCTTCTTGGTGTTCTGGACACACTGCCACGAACATTTGAGCCACTGGAAGATACTGGAAACCACGAGCAAAGGATTCACCTGCAGCGTCACCCATCGCAAACCAAAAGGGAGGGACGCCAAAGGCCTCGTTCACATGCAACACAAGCAGCACGTTGAGAAGTGAAAAGAAGGCAACAACGAGGCCTGTTACGAAGTACACGTCGTGCCAAGGCGCTTCAAAGTGCGGCATGATATGCGTCCGATACACGACGATCGAAGCGAAAGTGACACAAGCCCCAATGCCACTCAATGCTCCGTACTGGAAGGCGTCGAAATTATACGCCACTTTAAGATAATTTCCCCATGCTGCATTCTGCACAAAGAAGGCATTTGCCAGCACCAAGAAACACACGGGTTGCCACGTAGCACGTCGCTGTAGCATGAGCCAGATCCCTGCAACTTGGTCTTGCAGAGGCATCGGTCCGATCTCCTCCGGTTCGTAGAGATATTTAAGCGCTGGAAGCACCGAAATCATCGGGACAAAAGCGAGGAAAGCGAACAGCTGACCCATTGAAGCTCCCCAGCCCCATTGTGCTTTGTTACTCAATGCTGCACCCAACCAATAGCCCACCATTTCACTGGCAAAGCGACAAAGATACACCGTAGTCTGCAGATATGCTCCCTCCGATTGCATCTTTACCTTGGGTTCTTGCTGTAGTTTTGACTCCTCCGATCTCTTCCTCGGTGATTTTTGTTGCAATAGTAACACCCGATGTGCCACCAGTGCGTCTGCCATGACATCCGCCATAACCACACCGACTGTAGCTCCGAAAAGTAAAAGTGCGAACGACGCGATCGTCAGCGAGTCTGAGGCGCTGTAAATCGACAGTAATAAGTGGAATAGCGACGCTGTCACACACCCGAGGAACAAATAGGGTGTGAATCGTTGACCGTGGATTGGGAACACATCCGGTAACAGTCCGAAGAGCACTTTGAACGTCCAAGGAAGTGCACGAACCACTGTCACTGTACTGAGTTGAGCGTCTGAGGCGCCTAACGACCTCGGGAAAAACTCGATGGTGGCTTGAGGAAAAGAGTACATTATACCCGTGCTGATGTACGTAATGGGGATTGCCAAAGACTCGAGACTCCAGACGGATCCAGAGTATTGCTCTGGCAGCAGACTGGACAGTAGCAGACCTTCGTCTTGGCTCGTGGTGCGTGTGCGCTTGATGTGGTCGCTCAGAGACACGTAACACGTCGAGTCGGACGCACTTAAGGCCTCATCAGGTGTGGCAACACCCGGCTTGGCAGCCACGCGCTTCATGGTGCAACGTGGCGGATACGACTCTAAGGTAGCAGATCCATCTACGTGAGCTCATAACCCGACGCACCCCTTCAGGTCCGTAAAGTATCTTTCGATGGTCGAATGATACCGATTGACAATGGTTTTTTTGTCCTCCAGCTAAGTACGATTCTCAAGCGGCAGAAAAACACATTTGTCGACGAACGACCAATTTTTTTCTTCGGTCATGAGCGGCCCCGCAGCAAGCCTCAAACCTTTCGGTGCGTCTGCTCTTCTTCCTCTCTACCCGTTAGCATAATTATCTTCCTTCACTTAACCCCTTAACTGTACCAACTCTGTCTGGTACTGTACCAGGCCAATTGGAAGCACTGTCAGCGTCAGCTCCATGGGCCATTTTCCCTCGTAAGAAGCTCGACGTGACGTACGGGGACATTGGAGCAGGTCTGGCTGCGTGTTTACAACTGCGCGAGCACCAGCGTCAGGAATATGAGCAGAATATCGCGAATCTGTGGGATCCCAGCGGTCATGCAATGGTCACTCTCTCCATCCGGTACGGAACGAGCTCCTATTGCTATGAATTTTGAGGAATTATATACTAAATCTTGCTGCTATCGGTGGTTAGAACGGGGTTTGATCTCCTGCTGCAAACGCTCAAGCTGCCAGCCGGGAGTGAAGTGCTCTGCAGTGCCATCACGATCCCCGATATGATCTACGTACTGCGGTACCATGGACTAGTACCGGTTCCTGTGGATCTGAACCCAGAGACACTGGCAGTGGATGTGGAACTGCTAAAGAAATCTATCACAGAGGTAAAGAAGAAATTCGGAGTATTGTTGGTGAAATTTAGAGCTGATTTGTGTAAATTTGTAGAAAACGAGGATGCTATTGGTCGCGCATGTCTTCGGCTCGCGTTTCCCGCTGGATGAAGCGCTAGAAGTTGCGCGTAGCAACGATTTGCTGGTTGTGGAGGACTGTGCACAGGCCTTTATGGGCATGCAGTACACGGGCGAGAACCGTGCAGATGTGTCTATGTTCAGCTTTGGCACGATCAAGACGGCGACGTCGTTCGGTGGTGCGATTATCCACGTGAAAAATTCTGCTGTGCTCGAAGAGATGCGTCGTCGTGAGAAAAGGTAAGCAGAGTGTTTATTTTTTGGTTTCGAATTATAGAAATGGTGTTGTGATACCAACTGGCTACGCTTGCTGTAGGTATCCATGCCGCACGAACTTGTTCTTCTTCAAGAGATTGGTGAAGTACGGTATGCTGCATGGCATTTCCACGCCAGCAATCTACGGACTATTCCTCCATGCCTGTCGTGCTGTTGGAGGTACGCTAGTTTGCGCTTTGTAACTCTCAGTTAGTCTGATTTGTTGAAAACTCTGTTTCTGTCGCAGCTGATCACGACAAAGTGATCACATCGGCAATTCGTGGCTTCAGTGGTGGAGAGCTGGTGTCACTGATCCAGTACCGCCCGTCGATGGCTTTGCTTGGGCTGATGCATCGCCGCCTCATCTGCATGGATGAACAGTATGTACTTCAAAGAAAGTAAGTGCACATGGGAAACGTGAACGCATCCAAGTGATAGAGTTACTGATTATCTTAACGTGTTATGGAAATTTCAGATCCAAGAGCGAACGGTTGGCCGACGCCATCAAGGATCTTCCCAACGTCTCAGTAAGCGTGCTTGCTTCATTATATTTCTGTGGTCATCAGGCATTCTAACATCTTCTGCATTTACTTTTGTAGATCCCTGGTTATTGTGCTGAGAAGCACTACTACTGGCTGTTCCCTGTCTGTGTGCCGTCCCCGAAAGATGTCGTCAGCTACATGAACAAGCATGTAAGTTGGCTGACAGTTCACAATTTTAACAAGCCTTTTTGAAGATCTAGGGCGCTAATAAGCTTTTAAACAGGGTTTTGACGTCACTTCGGGTGCTACACAACTGACCTACGTCCCGAGGTACGATGAGAGATGGGTTTATAATTCTGCAGCTTTTAAAACTTGATATTTTCTTTTTGAATGTGTGTGTGCAGCCCGCTTGGACAAGACCATGACCCTGCGCACGCTAAGCACATCATGACCAGGTTTGTTGCAACAACTTTGACGCTGGAAATGCAACATGAGCTGACGATTTTCTACCATGATAGTTTGGTCTACCTTCCCGTTACCCCCGAAACTCCGGACTGGGCCATCGAGAAGATGATGCGCTGTTTCCGAGACGCGATTCAATCGTCAAGCAGACTTTAACCATGTTCAAAATCAGACGCGAGCCTTTTGCCGACTAATCAACCAAAACGACTTGCAAGGTGCATGGTAGGGTTGTTGGAGCGCGTTTGAGTGTTCCCATTCATGCTCAATAGAGATGTGTATATTTTATAATTGTTCTTATGACTGGTGTATCAGATCCTATGTACTCTTTAGAAAAGAGTATGCAATATCGCCGAGAGCAAAGTGACCGACACAACAGCCACAAGTGAGTTTTGGCGGTTCGCTTCGTTCGCCGTGGTTGTCGTAGCCGATGAACCGCTGCTGCTGGTGCTGCCACTAGTACTGTCGCTATTGCTTCCACTGGGAGTCGAGCTATGCGTCCCCGATCCCGAGCCAGTGGCCCAAGTTCCACTCGACTGTTGACCTTCGCAGGTATGAGATTGAACTGCCGTGGGGCAGCTGAATTTACTTGCAACAGTGTCAGATTCCCACGTGATGTCGCTTAGTTTCGGGAAACCGGTGGGGCAGGTGGGTAGTACAGTTCGATCCGACTTGAATGCGCTCATTTTGGTCTCACTAGTGACGTTAACAGCTTTGTATTGCGTGGCGAGGTTGTCGTAGTTGGGCATTGGCACGTATTCACACTTGATATCATCGTGATTACAGTTCGCAGGCTTAAAGTAGCCGAGTCCGTAGTTCCCGGCGTCATAGCTGGTAAATGGAAACGCCGCCTTCACGTTCACGATCTCAGTCGAGTATTCAAAGGCAAAGCCTCCAGAGAATGTCTTGCGGAAGTCAGAGGAGAACAACCAGCCTGCCTGAAGCCACGTACGCTGAGCCTCATACTCTCCGACTTTCGGGAACTTTACGTTCAGGCATCCGTATTCTGTCAGCATTACCGGGATGGTCATTCCGTACGACGCGAAATCTGTCTGGAGTTTGTTGAATCCGGTAGCAGCCGCGAGAGTCTTCTGGTCGTGGTCGCAGTACTGGTATGCGTTGATACCATACCACTCGGCATTCTCGTACTTGTCGTTGTTGCCGCGGCAATTGTAGTACTTTGCGTTGACTTCGCGATTGTTTTTCGCTGTGTCAGGATCGGCCACGACAAGCCCAACGGGGATCTTGCGGATACTGGAGCATTCTCCGATAAAGTTGCGCATATCGCGAACGAACTTCTTCTGGCATGGTGCATTGATCGCAGCGTCCTCGGGTACTTCGTTATTGACCTCATTTCCTGCGCTAAAGGCCTGCCAAGAAGAAAAAAAATATGAACATAGGTTTATCGTCACAAATAGCATAAAGTAATAAACGTACCAGCACGTTGTCATACTTGGCAAATGCCAGGATAATTTGCCTTCCGCGTTCTCGAAGAGCGGCGGGGTAACACGTCGGATACTTTTCGATGGTAACCGAGCAATTGGTGCAACTAGCAGCAAGGTCGATCAGAGCATACATGCCCTTGGCACGCAGCGCGCACATGAACATGTCGTGGGACTTGGACGGATCAACAGCGTACAACCTCACAGCGTTGGCTCCAGTAGAAGCAAGGTAGTCAATATCGTCTTTCCAGACGTCGTAGTGTGCGTCCGTGAAGAAGTCGTGATTGTTTTCGTTGAGTTTGCCGGCGTTGGGGCGCGGATAGTAGTCGATGCCTTTGACAGCGAATGAGTCACCCGTCTTGTTGTCGAACATGCGGTAGCCGACAATAGTGATCGGGTTCGTGTAGCCTTGAACGTCGACGGCAGCTAGGGCAGTCAACAAAGTTGCGACAATCACGGAGAGCTTCATACTTGTCGAGTAAGAACTGCTTGGTACGATAGCTTTTCAATAATGACACAGAGAACTGACAAGGTACCTTTGCTCATCAGTGACCAGACTATTTTCTGCCTTCAAGTTGTACCATTTTCGGCTACAAGAACGTTCTTGTTTTCTAAACTCAGCTTGTCTTACTATCTTTCGGACTCCAACAACCTCCAAATTGGAGATCAACGTTCTCTTCTCACACCAATTTTCAGGCTAATTCGAGATATTCTTACCAATTTTATCGATCTCTTTAGATCAAAATACCAGCAAGGGCTGTAACGATGACAGCCATTACAACGGACCGGGTCATGGTCGAGGACGTGGAACTGGTGTTACCACCGTCAGTACTACCCGTTCCCGACTTGTCCGTATTGAAGTCTCCACCCTCCTTTGTGTTATCCGAAGTTTTCGATGATGTGGTTGAGCTCGATCCAGCGTCACTGGCCCAGTCTCCGCTAGGCTCCTGGTCTGGGCACTCATACTGTTGAGCCGTAGACGGGCATGTCAAACTTTCAACACTGTCCGCCTCCCACGTGACATCAGCAAGAGCAGCAAAGCCATCCGGACACGACGGAATCGTGGTTCGGTCAGGGGTGAAATCTTCCATAGTGCTCTCCCCCGATACATCCGTTGCATTGTATTGCTTTGCCAAGCTATCAAAATTTGGCATTGGATTGTAGACACACGGAACCGATTCGTGGTCACAATCCTCTGGCGAAAAATAGCCCAGTCCATAGTTTTGTGCACCGTAGCTCGTGAACGGGTAGGGCGATTCATCCTTAGCATTGGCATTTTCCGTCGAGTACTCAAAGGCAAAACCTCCGGCAAACACGTCACGGAAGGTTGAGTCAAACATCCACCCAGCTTGAAGCCATGTGCGTTGAGCTTCATATCCATCTACCGTTGGGAAGCTCGGGTTCACACAGCCGAATTCCGTGAGCATAACGGGGATAGTCATGTCATAGGACGAAAAGTCCATCAATAGTTTCTCGAATCCCCCCGACGATGCCAACTCCGTAATGTCTGCATCACAGTATTGATACGTATTAAGTCCGTACCATTGTGCATTCTCGTACTCGTCACTTGAGTCGGTTCTGCAGTTATAGTACTTGGCATTGATCTCTCGGTTGTTATTGGTCGTGTCCGGGTCGGCCATAACCACCCCCACTGGAATATCACGGAAACTGGAGCAACCTCCAAGGAAAGCTCTCATATCTCTAATGAATTTCTTTTGACACGGGGCGTTAGTCCACGCATCGTCGACAATATGGTTCACTTCATTGCCAGCACTGAATGCCAGCACGTTGTCGTACTGTGCGAACTCGGAGATAATTTGTTCACCTCGAGTTTTCAGTGCACTGGGGTAGCATGTCGGATACTCGTCCAAAGTGATGGAACAGTTCTCACAACTCGCTCCGAGGTCCACTAGTGCGTACAAGCCTTTAGCACGCAGCGCACACATGAAGAGATCGTGTGGTTTGGATGGATCCACGGCGTACAGACGGACGGCGTTGGCGCCGGTCGCCGCAAGGTATTCGATGTCCGGGCCCCAGATATCTTCGTTGTCGTCTGTGAAGAAGTCGAGGTTGTTGGCGTTCAGGTCTCCCGTGTTGGGGCGTGGGTAGTAGTCTATGCCTTTAACGGCAAACGCTTCGCCAGTTTTGGCGTCGAACATTTTGTAGCCCTTGACGGTGATGGGGTTCGTGTAACTTTGTGCTAGTGGCAACATGGTGGCAATTACCAATACGAGGGAGGCGAAACGCTGCATTGCCGGCGGGTGTATTCGTCTTGGCCTTCCAAGTTGATGGCAGGAGGCAAATCGAGGACTGAGTTGAGGTCGAGAGAGAGCGTCGCCTGCTTTTTGGGTACAAGCACGGGCAACTCCAGTGACACTTACAAACACCAAGTCAGAAATCGTTTCTTGATTGA